TGTGTGTGTGTGTGTGTTTTGGAAGAACAGCCAGAGACGGTGTTAGGAGTGCTGATAAGAGCAGCCGCCACTAACACTTTCCGGGGAGGCTCCATCTATTGGTGGGGAGCAGCACTTGCTGGAAACCGGGTCCAGCATCCCAGAACATCATGCTTGCTTGTTTATACAGACAACTGATAGTAACCACTGCTGGGTGCATAACCCACCATCTGGGATGGGAGTATAGTGGAGCTACTCAACTACCCAGCAGTCTGGATTGATTGCGTACATGACAGCCGATGCTATGTGATATAGTACTCGATAATGGAGACTGCTTTCATCTATCATAATCTGTCATTATCCCCAGTGCATGTAGGCCAACAGGCCTCCCGTTCCCCATCCCCCACCCTTTGGAACAGAACCTGGTTAACCAATGTTAGACACTGTTTATTGTCATTAAACCTTCAGTACCTCTGCCGTCCTCTGCAAAGCGTGTGAATTGATGTGACGCCCCCAGGTGCTTAGGCGTGCATGCAGGGGCACTGATGAGTATAGGCTAAACCCCTAAACCCTCCACCCCTGGACTATCTCGTGCACTGCAAAAAAAGGGTCACGCCTTATATCTCTGTTGTCCACCTCCATTCCGTCACCTTGCACTTTCAGGCAGTCGTAGATATGTTGTCGATCATCTTTTCTGTAGCAATTTCACTCTGCAATCGGTCCACATTCCCATGTGGCTGCTGTTTCGTCTGTTCGCCGTGCCTCCCAATACCACTGGGTGGTTGAGGAAGAAAGAGGAGCCAGGTGGGGGGAAGAGGAGGGGGTAGGGTGAGGGCGAGATGCGGGGGGGGGGCAGGTGGTAAGAAAACTGAAGGGACAGGAAAGTAGAAAAAAAGGTGGGGGGAAGGGATAGCACTTGGGGCAGAATTGTTCAGGGCAGTCGGTAGTGGAGGGGTGTTTGAGTAGCAGACCAGCACTCTGTTGTGTTTTGTTAATTTATGAGATGAGCACGAAGTTAGGGTGAAGATATGTTACGTCGAAACAGTGAAAGGGTCTTCGTTGCCAGGAGGGTTCTGTCCTCCTCCAAGGCTTCCACTGGATGCTGAACTTGATCTCGAGCTCAGAAAAGATGTGGTGAGGGTCCTGCGAAAGTTGGCGGTAGGCATCACGGATGGCCTCTTTCACAACAGGGTCCTTTTTCTCCCTGTAATCCTTTATGAAGGATTTCCAGGCCTCGTGTGTATGCGATCTGATTACCTCCTCAATTGTTTGTTGGGCTTGCTGCAGTCCAAATTGATGGTCTCTTCTTTCAAATGAGCATCTCGCTCTCCAGGCCAGCATTAGGACGTTCAGCCTCATATATGAGAAAAGGTTAGTAGCGAAGGGGGGCCATTTTGCCAACAACTGTTGGTTCTTGCCCAGCAGCAGCAGCCCCAAGTCCCACAGGATGTGCTCCCCCGTTAGGGCATGGAAGACAACATCCCACCACTGCCACAATTGGGTGACCATAGGGCACGCCAGCAGGCAGTGTTCCAGTGTTGCCTGGGCCGGCGGCGTTGACCTGCCGTAGAAGGTGCAGATAGGTGACAGAAGCCCTTTCTGCTCGAGGTCTGTTCTAGATACAAGCCAGTCGGGCGTGGGCAGACATCGATGAAGGATCTGTCATTGAAGCGCTCTAAGGTTTGTGGGCATGATCCTGGAGTACTTGGCCCAGGACAATTTTTTTAGCAGGTCCTAGTCCAAGGGTGAGTCGCTCTCCCATCTGCGAGAAATGTTTGGTCAATTGGTACTATTGGGCACATGGCCGTATATCCTCCTTTGACAGTATAATCCCATATATGCATGGGCTTAGGTCCAGGCCACTCCCATTCCCCCGGATCAAAGGGGAGCCTGGCAACCAGTATCGTGGGCTCAAATACAAAGAGGCTCTCTTGCCGGTCCCCCACCACTCTGACATGCAAGGTTTTCATTCCTTGTAAGTTTGGAGAGTCTGGCTCCTGTCATCTGGGGCTCGTACGCTTGTAGTGTGCAGCGCTCTGCTTCCAAGCTTTGTACCATATATATGGCTTGGGGGCAAGGAAGGTCCTTGTATCTAACAACCTAGTCGTCTTGCACCACCGTGGGGCCTGTTCGGAGGGCAAGTGGCCAGGCCAGGGAAAGGGTCTCTCTCAGCTTAGTCGCCTTCTCCCCCACATTCTTGACATGTTTAAGTCTCAATTGCAGTTGGACAGACATGGCCCAGTCTGCTGTCACGGGGTCCCATAGGTCCCCCGCCGTAAATACTCCCCTTTTGGCCCACGTAAGCTAGGGGGAGTTTGTAGTGAGGACAAACGAATTTCCTTCATCGTCCAGCACCCATGGGTTGTTGCCAAACAACGGCTGCCTCCAAATGTCCTGCCATCTGTTGGGAGGTTGTTTCTGCTGCGGACCACGCCTTCTCCACAGTTTTAGCATGTACGCCCACAGGGGGTCGAGCGGTATGTCTGCTCTGGCTGTGTGCTGCGGGTTGTTTGGCTGTCGTTGTTGAGCAGGGGAGGGGATTGTCCAGTACTTATTGGTTAGCCACCGGAAGGGATGCAGTTTTTTAGCCGCCGACATCTCAGGTGTCTCAGGTGCCAGGTTGGCAATCTGCGAGCAGGCCAGCAGACCCCAGGGGATATCATTGCCTATAAGTAGCCTGACCAAAACTTCAAAGATCAGTGCCTCACTCTCCTTCTCCGGGTCCAGTATCCCCAACCCCCCTTTAGCCCTTGGTTGCATGAGGACATCCGATGCCACCCTCTGTATACATCCCGATGTTTTAGAGTTGTTTTTCCAGAGGTACTCCGTTAGGGCTTTCTTCAGTCTGGCGTATTGTTGTGGCTTTAGTGGCCAGATTGGCAGTTTGTACCAAATGACCGCCAAAATGACATTATTGATGGCCAAGGCCCGCCCTATTAGTGACGTGTGTAGTCCCTTCTATTTAGCCAGTCGATCTATTGCCATGTTCACCGACATATCCCCATGATCCGCTGGGGCCCCAACCGCAGTGAGTCTCACTCCAAGAATTATGATGAGGAACATGGAATCGCTTCAACATCCCCCCCTCCTTACTAATGTTTTAGCCTCCCACTCTCTCTCTCTCTCTCTCTCTCTCTCTCTCTCTCTCTCTCTCTCTCTCTCTCTCTCTCTCTCT